GGGGGATGAGGGGGAGAAGGGGGAGGGAGCTGAAGAGGGGGTGCCAGAAAGAGAGAGCAAAGGCCCCGGCACCCACCCCGCTTCCAGACTCACCATATTCGGTCTCCCTAGTTCTCGCGGACCGGCGCCCTCCTGCCCGAGGTCCGTGGCTTTTATGGCCCTGAGGGAGGTGCAGATAGGGAGGAAGGAAGTGACCCGGCCCTCGGCCCTCGGCCCCCAGGTCCTCATTGGTCTGTACTCCGTACGGACCGAGGCTGGGCTCCTGTGGGGCAGCCAGGGGAGCAGAGATCAGGGCTCCGAGCTGAGGAACTCCCCTCCCGCCCAAGGAGGGAGGAAGCCAGAGGGAAGAGATGCCCCCCTCTGTTTCCGCGCGGCCCCTCTCCGGGCTGTGGTTTCCCCATGAGACCCTCTCTCTCTCTCTCTCTCTCTCTCTCCTCCGAGGGCCCCTGGGGCAAAAGCTTAGAGTCCGTGCCCTAACCCAGTGATGGCGAACCTTGGGAGCTCGGCGTGTCAGCATTTTGAAAAACCCTCACTTAACTCTGGGGCTGTGTCACATATAGCAATTTTTTTGATATTTGCAACCACAGTAAAACAAAGACTTATATTTTTGATATTTATTTTATAGATTTCAATGCCATGCCTGAACGCCCCTGGGGTCCTGGGCAGGGGGGAGGGCCAGCCCAGCCTCCCAAGCAGGTCGCTTTGAGGCCCCAATGAAACCGGACAATCACTGGGTCCGGGCTGCCTGCCACGGCTTCAGCCAATTCTGCAGACGGGGTTGAATCGTACGTGAGCGTTTATTCCAGTCCTGCGGGCAGTAAGGGAGAGCAGCAGGCCGTCCACAAAAATCTGCTCTGCAGCCCCCGATAAGCCAGCTGCTCACACTGGGTAGAAGGATGACGATGACTTGGAGAGGCAGGCGAAAGAGATAAGAATGGGGGTATGCAAGATGGGCACTTTGCAGGTAACGCTGGCTCAGGGTTCGCCAAGGGCTGGTGGCATGCAAAGGGCTGGAGCCCCTGGTTTCTGCAACAAGGCTGTTATCTTTCCAGGATGATAAGCAGCTCCCGGATGTGAGGGATGAGCCAGATTTCCAGGGGAGCTCCCAGGGTCCCCCATGCAGCTCCCAGCCAGGTTAGAACGTGCCTTCACATTGAATCAGAACAAATCAATCGCAGTTCGCAGAGCATGGTTAATTTTTTTATTTATTTATTGGTTTGAGAGAGAGACATCCATTTGTTTTTTGTTTGTTGGTTTGCTAATCCTCACCAGAGGGTATTGTTCCATTGATTTGTAGAGAGAGTGGAAAGGAGGGGGAGAGGCAGAGAGAGAGACACTGATGGGGACACATCGATCGATTGCCTCCCACAGGCAGCTGGGGATGGAGCCTGCAACCAGAGCACGTCCCCCTGACTGAGATCGAACCCGGGACCCTTCAGTCAGCAGGTTAACGCTCTATCCACTGAGCCAAACCAGCTAGGGCAACAGAGCATGATTAATATTTCTTTTTTTTTATTGATTTTGTTTACAGAGAGGAAGGGAGAGGGATAGAGAGCCAGAAACATCGATGAGAGAGAAACATCGATGAGAAACATCGATCAGCTGCCTCCTGCACACTCCCAACTAGGGATGCGCCCGCAACCAAGGTACATGCCCTTGACCGGAATCGAACCCGGGACCCTTGAGTCCACAGGCCGACGCTCTATCCACTGAGCCAAACCGGTCAGGGCATGATTAATATTTCTTACTAGAGGCCCGGCACACGAATTCATGCACCAGTGGGGTCCCTCGGCCTGGCCTGTGGGATTGGGCCAAAACCAGCTCTCTGACATCCCCTGAGGGGTCCCAGATTGCAAGAGGGCACAGGCCAGGCCAAGGGACCCCACCAGTGCACAATTGGGGCCAGGGAGGAACACAGGAGGTTGGCCAGCTGGGGAGGGACTGTAGGAGGACTCCAGGGCATGTCTGGCCTGTCTTGCTCAGTCCCGATCAGACAGACCCAGCAGGAAGCTAACCTACAGGTTGGCGCGTCTGCCCCCTGGTGGTCAGTGCACGGCATAGCGACTGATTGACTTTCTGCCCCCTAGTGGTCAGTGCATGTCATAGTGAGCGGTTGAGCAGCCTTAGCATATCATTAGCATATTACACTTTGATTGGCTGAACAGCTGACCGGGCGATTGGACACTTAGCATATTAGGCTTTTGTTATATAGGATAGTTATAGCTGGTCCCCAATATTCTATTTCGGCACTAATTTCCCCACTGCTATTTCTTTCATCTCATCGCTATGAGATTAGTTTTAGATGAAAAATCTCATCTTTTCATCTGGACTGCAGCTGCTTGTGCCTTGAAAGCAGCTCTTGGGGCTGGAACACAGCAAATGCAGGATCTGAAAAGAGGGAGACATCGCACACAGCAGCAAGCTATCGGACCACAAAATATAAACAGGAGAGAAGCTAGAAGGAATTCCCGCAGCCCAGACAGGTTGGGCAGCCAGGGTAAGTCAAATCCAAAAAAACCCTTCTCGTTGTTTTACCTCGGAGATGGTTTTCCTAAATGTGTTGAAC